TATATAAACATTTATTGCAATTTCCAGCATAATTTCTGGTGAGAAAATAACTGATTTTAATTAAAAACATGATTTATACATAAAAACAGAAACATATAATACATATTATTCGAAGTATTATACGTCTCAGCAAGGATTTAGCTCGTTAGATACAGCATCCGGGCATCACTGTAGGTGAAGCTTTTCCTTATATACGCTGATCAATAATAATAATAATAATAATTAATGTTAACTTATAACTATAGAACCTGGCAATACACATTTCACATGGTGTGAAAAAGATCCCCCCCCAAAAAAAAAAACTTTGTGAAACGTCTTTTAAACTATCTTCACCTTATAAATAATTGTTATACTGCATACGTATTAAAATTGATATCTTCAAATTAAAACATATGCCTTTTATTTATGCAGAAGTATATGTCATCATACATTTGTTAATACTTAAGTCCTTTCAAATTCTTTGGAAGTCTCGGTAAAAGCTAGCCATTTACTAAATTACAAAGTATATGATGCATTTACAATGAACATTTAAAAAGATATAATACATTTCACATCTGAGATTCCTATAACCACTGATATAGTAATCTCAGTTTACATGGAACATGTGGAAGGTGATATGCGGTACTATTGAATCTGGATGCCGGACATGTCAGACACTCGACCAACAATACAATAGACAATAACATTATTGAAGCTTGAGGGCTGCAACTAGTTTTAAAAACTTGAACAGTTCTGTGCTTTTTATAGTCTGCATGTGACACGCTCTGCTCTTGGTCTTCAGTGAACAGAATATACAAATAAGAAGATGTGATATTTCAATGAGACAACATTCTACCAGAGACCAAATGACGTAAAAGTTAACAAATATAGGTCACCATACGCCTTCACAATGAGAAAATCCAATACCGCATAGTATGCCAAAAAGCGCCCAGAAATGACAATTCAACATGTAAAACAATTCAATCGAGAAAAACTAACGGCCTGATTTATGTACAAAACAATAAACGAAAAACAAACATGATATACAACAACAAACAACAACCACTGAATAACGGGCTCCTGATTTGAGACAGGCACATACAGAATGTGGCGGGGTTAAACATGTTAGCTGGAAAAAAACCTTTAAAAGTCAGTTGAAAAGAGCTTAACATATCGATACATAGCACAAAGTAAAATTAAAGTATGATTTCTTGACTTTGAAAACACTTGACAAGCAGGTACATTTAGTAGGTTCGATTCCAGACAAGTGGATGAGAAAGTCAAGTTCTGTACTAAATAAGACTATTAACCTCCAGAAAATGTCATGAAGAGTTCAAGTAAGAATTCCACTTTGTTGATTTCTGCCAAATACTCGAAAGGCAACTATTCATTGTCACGAATAGCTGATAACAGTTATCTTCTTAAAGCGTACAGAAAAAAGTTAAATTAACTGACGACTGCCAAAAAAAAATAAAACCCAAACAAACAAACATGTCGGGCCTTTTATAGCCGACTATACGGTATGGGTTTTTTTTCATTGTTAAAGGCCGTACGGTTGTTTATAATTGTTAAAATCCACTTCATTTGAACTTTGGTGAATATAGTTGTTTCATTGGCAATCATACCACATCTCCTTATTTTTATAAACCTCTGAGAAACGTCCCACTCTAAAACAATATAGAAATTGGCATAATTGGCATAAGTGTTTCTGCTTCTATATAAATAGAGCAGAAAAACTCTAACAGTGGTCATGAAAGTGTCTTTATTTTCTTGCTTCAGACGTTAAGCTCTGATCGAAGGTTGTATAATTCATTATACATCATATCTTCTTCGGAAGCATGCCCATCGAGAAATGGGTTTGCAAGTGGCTGCAGTGAATATAGCAGGTGATAACATAAAACCATTCGTTTAAATTTATGTGACAAGGGAAACGTTGCTAGACTGATATATGTTTTCTTTGTTTCTTCACCATGTTCACTGCATCGCGGTACAACACAAATTTCTCACTTTTTACTAATAGATCTGGTGATGTGAAGTTGATTTCTCTTTTTTACTGCTCAATGTATCATTTTTTTCTTTTTTTACTCTTGTGATTCTAAGCCATGCATGGAGAAAACAAAAGTTTTGTCGATTCTGTTCAAGACCTGTAGGTACATTATGAAGATATGTAGATGTAAATGACACATTCCATTTCGAATGATTTTATAATTTAAAATAAAATAATTCTATGTCAATAGGAATTTTCAATTCTTCGTTTAAGTGTCACTTCTTTTTCTTTTCGCAGTAAGTTTGTAACTAATAAAATTATTGAAATATATGATAAAGAAAAGTTGTTCTGTGAGATCATTTCTTTAAATCTTTTATTAAAAGGCACGAATTAAAACAATAAAATGTGTTTTTTTTTTGTTAATTTGCTGCTTTAAAAAATGTTATGTCATAAAATGCTTATTTCCAAATTCATTGAATTTCACAATAAGTGATGTCTTTATTCGCGTTTCTGAATTATCTTTTATAATATAATAAACATCAACCTTTTAAACTGTTTCGTTAAAACAAATTTTATTAGTATTAATTATCACCGTTATTAAATTTGTATGCACCTTAATATAAGCGCTGAATACCAAAAATGTACTATGACCAAGTTAAATCACCTTTCTAAATGTTTCTTTGATGTCGATATTTTTATTACCCCATAGACTCGATTAAGGAAAATCAACCAAGATCACTTATAGTTTTGTTTTCCGTGCATAGATTTGTCAAACAGTCATATAAACAAAAACTAAATCAATTACATCCCATTGATATTCTATTTTTATGGTGAATCTTTATTATGCATTGTGTATTACAAATCTATCAGGGTCTTGATGGGGGTCCCTCATTTCTGTATTCTTTAATTTTTTATGTAATTTTTATGTAATCTTTTTATTTTTTTGCCATTATTCTCTGTTCTTTATATTTGAATGCCCCCTTATTTTCTATTCTTTATATTTGAGTGCCCCATTATTCTGTATTCTTTAATTTTTTGCCATATTTTTCTCTAATGTATTCTTAATTTTTTTGGCCATTTATTCTGCACATTTTGTTCATTATTCTCGATTCTTTAAACCCCATCCAGACTCTCATCTATGAGTGGGCTCCATATCTAAGTTTTAAAAACGCATTAAATGAAATTATAAGAACGATTTTAAGTTAATAATTTTTCCTGAAGAGCACAAGGGTTTTTAAAAAAGCCCGTTTGTTCGGATAACAGAACATACAAAGTCGACTTATTACGGATCTTTGTACAGATACAAAGATCTCCCTGATTATCAGATCTGCGGTGAGTTTCCCAAAAAATTCGTAAGGGTTCCGCGGAACCCAGTGTCTCGCCTACTTTTGCTGGTGCCTATGTTTTCAGTGTGATAGGGGAATGCACATAATAGATTTATTTTACAAAAATGGGGAAAAATTATTAAAAATTTTCCTCTAGATACTATCTTTTGATTGTAAAAAGCTTCTGTCCAAGTTTGGTAAAAATCCAGAATGGTTTATGAATCTATTATATAATTGTTTTAAAATTTTAACTGCAGACTGTATGTAATGTTAACTGGAAGAAAAACTAAGTCCATTTATAAGTAATATACGGAAAAACAGGAAGTAATATTTTACAAATTTCCCTTCTAGATACTAGCTTTTGATCATAAACAAGCTTCTGTCCAAGTTTGGTACACATCCAGGATATTTTAAGAAAGTTATTCAAAATTTTAAAACTTTAACCACTGAGTGAATGTAATGTTAACTGGCAGAAAAACTAAGTCCATTTATAAGTAAAATACGGATAAACAGGATTTAATTTTTTTTACCAAATATACTTCTGAATACTATCTTATTAACATAAACAAGCTTCTGTCCAAGTTTGGTAGAAATCTAGGATAGTTTAAGAAAGTTATTAAAATTTCAAAAACTTTAACCACAGGGTGAATATTTGTGGACGCCGCCGCCGCCGACGACATCGACGACGCCGACGACGGAATGTAGGATCGCTATGTCTCGCTTTTGTGACAAAAGTCGCAGGCTCGACAAAAACTCAAGGAATATTTTTACTTCAGAATCTGTTGAAAAAGAAACGGAAATACGGAAACGTTTCAGAATAGGGAATTAAGTTGTGACGTCATTTGAAATGTAATCATCAGGTAACGCTTTTTATCATATCAAAATCTGAATTAAAAAAATGTACATCCAAATGGTAGAAAAGACAGAAAGCTCTGTTATTTTACTGTAAACGAGAAGACGTGTTGCTATGAAGCAAAAAACGTTTACGATTATGATTTCATTAGTATATTGAATTTTATATTGATTTTTAGTTTTATTGATTAGCTTACTGTTATAAGAGACGTCCCAATAACATTTTACTCAAACCCCGAGCTAAACGATACCGGAAAAGATTTCTGCGCAGATGCGGGAAAATAAAAAATGTTAACGATTTTGAGTTCATTCGTTTTTTTTATTGATTTTTCTTCTTTATTATATACTAATCGTAGATGTTTTTTTTACGTGAGTTTGAAATGATTTATAATACCTGTGAAAGGGGACGAAGTCTAGTACAGAGTAGGGGTTTGATGAAACGTTTGCAAACGTGACTGCTATCAATGGCGTGACGTTATACAGTTTAGGTGATTGATATCGTTATCATCACGGATGGCTGATACAGCACGATTGCTAATGACTGTATTGCAGATCCAATTTACTTGTAATTACTTCTAATTATATAAAGAATTACATTTAATCAATAACAATAATCATTTTCAGACATCGATGACCAAAGGTTGGGATGTTTTATTATGATTCTTTCCGGTTAAATAGTTCAAATGTAATATAGCCTTTGCTTTATGCTTTGAAAATGTCATCAAACTGAGCTTGCAGTTTCATACAGAAGCATGGTATGCGGCAAAAACTAGTAACGTACATTGCATTTTATCTTGTGGAAAATTTAAGTGAATGCACGATTAAGGGAACTATACAGATTTTCTTTTTAATTTCAGGTATTTGTATTCAGAGAAAGCTGGAATTGCACCAAGTACCATATCTGCTGTTCTGAAAACGGCAAAGAAGTTCAAGCTTTATAAACTAATTGATGAATGTTTTAGTTTCTTACAGGGCTACATAAACGATGATTCCGTTTGTGTTGTGTTAGAACAAGCTGTTCTGTTTCAAAACGAAGGATTGATGGCGAAATGTTTACGTTATATTGACAAAAAAACGGCTTCTGTTATAAAAACAAAAAGTTTCAAGCAGGCATCATTAGAGAATATTCTGAAAATAGTCTCACGGGACTCGCTTATAATCAGAGAAGATGATCTATTTGATGGATTACTTGAATGGGCATATGCAAAATGTCAGAAGCTATCTCAACCAAAAACACCGCAGAATGCTAGGAAAATGTTGGGAGAAGCGTTTTATTACATCAGGTTTCCAATGATGAATCCACAAAACTTTACCAACAAGGTCGCAAATATTTCTATGTTAACGGATTCTGAAAAAATCGATTTATTTAGATATTTTTATGGATCAGAGAAACCGAACCTACCATTTCCAGATCGACCTCGCCAATGGAACAAGCGAGCTTCTGGAATTTTGTTCAACAAACCTCACCCAGATATTTTCACCCAAGGAAATTTTGGAAGTAACATGTTTTAACACTTTTGTAATGTTAATAATGTTGTAATAAAGTTATGTAACACATTGGTTAGTTATACTAATGCATAGATATGTTCTGTATGGGTTTTTTCATGTTATATAAATGGTATGTGTTATCCCAGATAGCACTAACGTTGGACCATCGTTGGCCCAACAACTCGGACTTCATTGGCCCAACATTGGCAAACAACGTTGGTCCAACGTTTTAAGTGCAAGTGTGCTAATTTTGGCACAACCTGATGGTGTTCCGTTGGGCCAACGTTGCAGATTATTAAAATAAAGTTTGCCCAACATTGGACCAATGTTTAATATTTTTAAAAATAACATTGGTCCAAAGTTAACGTTACTCGTTATTGAAAATCATGTTGGTCCATCGTTGGGCCAACAATGCACATCATTCAAAATATTGTCGGGATATGGATGGGCCAACGTTACTCATTTTCAAAAATATTATTAGATACATTCGTTCTATTGGTCAACGTAGCAAAAACAAATGGAACAATAAATGATTGTAACAGGATGCTGTTACGAAGTCTCCCAAACGAAGCTCCCATAATTCGTAATTCCCAGGGTCGCCTGACATTGGGCAAAGTCCAGTGAACATTGGTTTGATCCAATAAAGTTATATGCATTAGTGATGCCTGGGGACTAACCCTGTATATCATTCAAATCATCTTGGCATGACAAACCAGAATATATATGGTTTAGGGGAGGGGATCTCGACCATTTACAAGATACTAGAACATTGGGGGTGGGGGGAATCCCTGAGGACTGACCCTTTGCGTCATTCAAATGTTTGAGACATGACGAACAGGAATATATATGGTTTAGGGGTGGGGATCTCGACCATTTACAAGGTATTAGAACATTGGGGGTGGGGGGAACCCCTGGGGACTGACCATTTACGTCATTCAAATGTTTGAGACATGACGAACAGGAATATATATGGTTTAGGGGTGGGGATCTCGACCATTTATAAGATATTAGAACTTTCTCAAATGGCAGGGGGTCGGGATGTACCCTGGGGACTAACCCTGTATATCTTTCAAACCATCTTAGCATGACAAACCAGAATATATATGGTTTAGGGGTGGGGATCTTGACCACTAACAAGATATTAGAACTTTCTCAAATGGCAGGGGTGGGGGTGACCCCTGGGGACTAACCCTGAATTTCATTTGATGTGCTTTATCATGACAAACCAGAATATATATGGTTTAGGGGTGGGGATCTCGACCATTTACAAGATATAAGAACTTTCTCAAATGGCAGGGGGTCAGGATGACCCCTGGGGACTAACCCTGTATATCATTCAAACCATCTTAGCACGACAAACCAGAATATATATGGTTTAGGGGTGAGGATCTTGACCACTTACAAGATATTAGAACTTTCTTAAAAGGCATGGGGTGGGGGTAACCCCTGGGGGCTAACCCTGTATTTCATTTCATGTGCTTTATCATGACAAACCAGAATATATATGGTTTAGGGGTGGGGATCTCGACCATTTACAAGATATAAGAACTTTCTCAAATGGCAGGGGGTCGGGATGACCCCTGAGGACTAACCCTGTATATCATTTAAACCATCTTAGCATGACAAACCTGAATTTATATGGTTTAGGTGTGGGGATCTTGACCACTTACAAGATATAAGAACTTTCTTAAATGGCATGGGGTGGGGTGACCCCTGGGGACTAACCCTGTATTTCATTTGATTTGCTTTATCATGACAAACCAGAATATATATGGTTTAGGGGTGGGGATCTCGACCATTTACAAGATTTAAGAACTTTCTCAAATGGCAGGGAGTAGGGATGACCCCTGGGGACTAACCCTGTATATCATTCAAACCATCTTAGCATGACAAACCAGAATATATATGGTTTAGGTGTGGGGATCTTGGCCACTTACAAGGTATTAGAACTTTCTTAAATAGCAGGGGGTGGGGTGACGCCTGGGGACTAACCCTGTATTTCATTTAATGGGCTTTACCATTTAGAACATTTTCAATTAAAAAGATTGTGTCTATCACAAACGGTTTTCAATTTATAATCATTTGAAAATTTAAAAAAATAAAATCCCATAGGGTTCTATAGTAAAACCCTCTTTTCTTTTTGCCCCTCAAAGTACCTCTTTATAAACCCCATGGCACAAACAAAACCCTGATTGCACCACTAGACATGTTAGTCTAACATATTGTGAAACCCTAAGTTAATCTGTAAAGCGGTTTTGGAGAACGGGTGCGGACAAGTTCAAATTTAAAAGCGGCGGAAGAGGAAGAAGAAGAAGATTAATAACTAGATTTGTAATTGCTAGCAATAACGGATGGCACCCTTCCCCCATTGCCAGGGTAACGGCAGCCATTTTGAAAATTCCAAAGTCAAAGAGGGTATCTACACATGCCAATTTACATTATTGTAAATTTTCAGAAAGTTTGTAGCATTATGAAATTTTTGAAATTTTTTATGTTTCCATGGTAACGATAGAAATTTCCAAAATTTCAAAAGCAGACACCACATTGCCACATGCCATGTTACATATCAATACAGTTTCATTGATCAATATGTAATATTCTTTAAGAAAATGCAGCTTTTATATATTTTCCCATAGTCTCAATGTTAAACTTTCGCCCTGTTTCCATGACAATGGCGGCCATTTTGGAACTTCTTAATATTGCATGCACATCTAGGCATCTCAGGTAACACTTCCATAAAGTTTCATCCACCTGGGTCTTATAATGAAAGATTTAGAATTTTGAAATTTTTTCACGTTTTGTCAGTATCCATGACAACGGCCGCCATCTTGAATATGCCATACCCTGTTTGCACATCTGCACATGCTGGGTAACATTATGGTATGGTACCATGACTATTGGTTCATAAAGTTCCAAGATATCAGCTGGACAAAAAACGTGGAAGAAAAATAATAAATATAACTAGATTTGCCATTGTAAGCAATAGCGGATGGCACCCTTCCCCTTTTGCCACTAGATTGCAGCCAGTTTAAAAATTTTAAACAGTGACTGCACATATATACTGATGTCTATACGTCTTTCTGTTATTTTTTAATGCATTTAGCAGATTTACAATTTTACGCATAATTTTTCCTTTTTTTGCCTTGTTTCCATGGTAACGGCAGCCATTTTGGAAATTCCAACGCTAATTGCCGTTTCCACACATGACAGTCAACATTATTAAGAAGTTTCATTAAGTTTGAAGCATTCTGAAAATTTTGAAATGTTTGCTCCTGTATCCATGGTCACATAGTAGTTCCAATGATTGTCAAAATCATTCAAAACCTGAATATAATAGACAACTATATTGTATAAAAATTTGATGATTTTAAGTTAAAGCATACCGAAATTATTCACCAAACCTTGAAGTTTCTGTAGCATTTTGACCTTTTTGCATTATTTCCATGGTTACAACAGCCATTTTGGAAATTCCAACTCCAAATGCCACATCTTCCAATGTTGCTCATCGTTACTGTGAAGTTTCATTAAGTTTGGAACATTTTCATATTTTTGAAATTTTTTATGTAGTTTCCATGGCAACATAGTAGTTCCAATGAGTGCCAAAATCATCCAACACCAGTATATACTTGGCACCTACATTGTATTAAAATATAATGATTCTGAGTTTAAGCATATCCAAACAGTTCACCAAAACCAAAAACTGGATTTTTTCACATTTGTTCCGTTTCCATGGTAACGGCAGCCATCTTGAACCATTCCATGCTTCGTGCAACTCTTCACATGGGGGTCCTCAATATAGTAGAGTTCCATCAACATTGGTCTATTGGATTTCACAAAATCGCGCGGACAAAATGTGTGGAAGAAAAATAATAATAATAATAATAATAACAAGTAATCCTGTGTTAGGATGCTAACACAAAAGTCACCAAAACGGCCCCCAACCATTGTTCTGTTGTTTCCATTGTAACGGTAGCCATTTTGAAATTTTTAAAAGTCGGATAGCACATCTACACATGACAGGTCACATTGCTTACAAGTTACATAAAAATTGGACCAATTTTCAAATTTAGGCATTCGTGTTTCCATGGTTATGGCGGCCATTTTGGAAATTCCAAAGTCAAATGCCACATCTACATAAGACAGTCAACATTTGTGTAAAGTTTCATTAAGTTTGAAGCATTTTGAATTTTTTGACATTTTTGCAGTTTCCATGGCAACGGCAGCCATTTTGAAAATTCCAAAGTCGAAAGGCACATCTACACATGACAGGTCACATTATTGTCAAGTTTCATAAAGATTGCATCAAACCTAGATTTTTCGCATTTTTGTTGTTTCCATGGCAACGGCGGCCATTTTGGAAATTCCAAAGTCAAATTCCAAATCTACATATACTCGTTAACATCTCTGTAAAATTTAATCAAATTTTCACATTTTAAAATTTTTTTCACATTTTTGCAGTTTCCATGGTAACGGCGGCCATTTTAAAAATTCCAAAGTCGAATTACAGCTACATATGGTGCTACCTGTAATAATCTATCATTATATAACATATAAAGTACATATGAATAATTCAACACTATCACATGACTATCACATGACTATTGATCTAGAATGTTCCAGGAAAATTCACCCCCTAAAATAATGCCAAGATAACCCCGGGCTGAAATAAAAAATGTGGAATGGACACCTAGACATCGGTCTCTTGTATTACACAAAGCTTAAAGGTTCTACCAGTAGCGAATCCATAGTTGAAAAATGACCCCACCCATGTTCCGGCCCCCAAATAGTGCCAAGATGACCCCCATTTGAAATAAAAAATAGCGAATGCACCCCTAGGGATACTACCCCAACATCATACCAAATATCAAGTTTCCATCATTTAAGGCTTGGAAGAAAATGGTCGGACAAATTAGGGTTAAGAATAATAATAATAATAATAATAATAATAATAAGAAACGGGACAAAAACATAAAGTCCCCAAAACTCCGTGCCATAACTAGATTTGCCATTGCAAGCAATAGCGGATGGCACCCTTCCCCCGTTGCCAGGTGAGTGGCAGCCA